AGAGTGGTGCTACGTACGCCGCGGTCTTAGCGGAGGCGAAAAGCCGGATAAACCTTGCGGAACTTGGCATCGCCGATGTCAAGTTCCGCAGGGCGGCAACGGGCGCCCGAATGTTGGAGGTGGGGGGTGAGGCAGCCCCGGAGAAGGCCGACTCTCTGGCCGCTAGGCTCAGAGAGGTGCTCAGCCCGGAGGTGGTCAGGGTCGCCCGGCCGGTGAAATGTGCCGAAGTGCGTATCACCGGCCTCGACGACTCTGTCACCGCGGCCGAGGTCGTAGAGTCTGTGGCCAGAGAGGGGGGCTGCGCGGCCGACGCTGTAAGATCGGGCAGGCTCACCGTCGGCCCGAGGGGAGATGGCTCACTCTGGCTGAGCGTGCCGGTGGCGGCCGCCAAAAAGGTGACCGACGCCGGCCGCGTGAGGGTCGGCTGGACCTCGGCCAGGGTGGTGCTGCTCGCCTCGCGGCCGACGCGGTGCTTCCGCTGCCTTGAGACGGGGCACATGGGTGCCAAGTGCCCGGGTGAGGTCGACCGCAGCAAGCTCTGCTTTCGCTGCGGGAAGCCAGATCACCGGGCACGGGACTGTGTGGCAGACCCGAACTGCCCCGTCTGCGAGGCGGCGGCCAAACCGGCGGGCCACTTGATCGGCGGCGACGGCTGCGCCACCGCCGGGCAGAGGCCAGCGCCCAAAGGGAGGAGTGCGCCGAAGCGAAGGCCTCGGCGCAAGGCCAAGAAGGCCGGAGCGGAGCGGATGGACACCAGCCCATAAATGGACACCATCCGCTTCCTCCAATGCAACATCAACCACTGCGCCCGGGCGCAGGACCTGCTGGCCCAAACCATGGCGCAGTGGTTGATAAATGTAGTGGTGGTTGCCGACCCGTACGTCATCCCTTCCCGGGATGACTGGGCGGGTGATGTCGGCAACCTGGTGGCCATCTCCGTTCCGGCCCGCGACGGCTCCCCCTCTCTCCGAAAGGTGGCGAGAGGGACGGGAAGCGTGCTCGTGGTCGTCGGGGGAGTGGCTATAGTGGGGGTATATTTCCCCCCCAGCTGGCCCCTCGCCGACTTCGAGCGCGCTCTTGCAGAAGTGCAGGCGCTCACTGCGCGAGTCTCTCACCTCCCCGTGATCGTCGCGGGGGACTTCAACGCCAAAGCAACGGCGTGGGGATCCCCCGCGACGAGCCCGAGGGGGGAAGAGTTGGAGGACTGGGCGGCCGCGTCAGGGTTGATGCTCCTCAACCAAGGAAGAGAGCTCACCTGCGTGCGCCGACAGGGGGGGTCCATCGTGGACCTCTCCTTCGCGTCCCCGGCCTTGGTACCTAACATCTGTGGATGGAAGGTCGAGGTGGATGTGGAGACGTTGTCGGATCATCGTTATATTCGATTCGACCTCTCCACGTCCGCCTCGGCCTCGACGAACGCGCCACGCACCACGGCCGGGGACGGCCCGCGCTGGGTGCTGGGGCGCCTGGACCGCGAACTGGCGAAGGAGGCGGCCATAGTCGCAAGCTGGGCAGCTCACTCTGATCCCGTTGACTCCGCCGTGGACGTGAACGTGGAAGCGGACCGGCTGGGCGAGTTGCTGGCCAACGTCTGCGACTCGTCCATGCCGAGGGCCCGCCCGTTCCGTCCTCGTCGGCGAGTGTACTGGTGGCGCCCCGAGCTGCGCGAGCTGCGGCGAGCGTGTGTGGCGGCGCGCCGCCGGTACACTCGCTGCCGAAGGCGTCGAGTCCGGGATCAGAGGCAGGAGGAGGAGCTGTACCAGGCGTACAGGGCCGACCGCCACGCTCTCCAGGTGGCCATTGCGAAGGCCAAGCAGGGAGCGTGGGAGGAGTGGCTCCAAACTTTGGAGGAGGACCCGTGGGGCAGACCGTACCGAGCGGTGCGGAAGAAGCTCCGACCCTGGGCTCCGCCTATAACAACAACGATGGAGCCACAATTGGCGGAGGCGGTGGTCGGGGCTCTCTTCCCGCAACGGGTAGGGTCTGCCCTGCCGGCAGAGGAGGAGGGAGGGGCGGTCAACGACGAGGTGGAGCCGGTGTCCGAGAAGGAGGTGATGGACGCCGCCGTAAAGCTCCGCCTCAAGAAGACCGCTCCTGGGATGGACGGTGTGCCTGGTCGGGTACTATACCTGGCACTTCCCGAGCTCGGGGGACGGATTAGGGCCCTCTTCACCAGTTGCCTGGTGAAGG